AGATGTCTGAGGAGAAGGAAGAAGCAGCAGCAGGAAGAGAACCGAGCCAGCAGCAGGAACAGAGTTTTGCGGGGTAAGAACTGGACAAACCAAAACCCCCAAACTCGCTAGAGACCCCTCTGAGAAAGAGGAGGGGGTGGTGGACTAAGAAGAGTCCTAAAGTGCAGTATGCACTGCTGAGAGGAGCGAAGAAGCTCCGGCCTCCTGAGAGCCAGGACGGCCAAAGGAATGTGTGTGTGTGGGGTGACCTTGGCTCCCCCCTGCTCCAGCTTCAGAGAAGCTGGCAGCCATCTTTGAGTCAGAGCATGAGAGCTCTGTGAAGGGGCTTGGATTCCCCTGAGGATACCAGACCCCGGTGCTTCGTGATATGACCATGGTGTAGCGGCCGTGTCTGGGGTTACGCAGCCCATGGAAAGACCCCCGTTTTGAGGACGGAGGGCCGAGGGGCTTGGAGACCCCCTCGTGTGTGCTGGCAGAGAGCCAGCAACTACTACTACTACCTGGAAGAGAAGAAGAGAGCCTGCTGCCTAGAGAGACCTGCTGCTCAGAGACTGGAAGGGGTCTTTTCTTCTTCTTCTCTCCTGGACTTTTATTTGGAGAGAGAAGAGATTTGGCCCATTGTAAATATTATTGTCATGGTAGAGATAGATATAGAGTTAAGATTGTATGCAGTGTATTATAGTATAAGTATTTATTTGTACAGTCCTGTAATATATTCCTTTCCCCCCATATTGAGTCTTGTGTTTTTGTCTGGAAAACCCATCTCACATGGGGTTGAGATATGGGAGGGGGGGGGCTAGGAATCAGAATTGGATTTGGGCTTTTTCAAACCATGACAAGATGCAATTAATCAGGTGAGTTCCAGTGTTTCGCCAGCTTTCACAAGTCCAGCACACGTATTGTCAGCAAGATGTCATACGTCTTTTTAATTAAAAAAAAAAATGATCCTGATGCTGCCAAAAAAATAAAATCCTGCACATTTTCCTACGTAACAATTAATCTAAGAAACTATTTAATAAAGACTATTTAATAAACTATTAATAAAAATTAATACAAATTTAATAAACACATGGTTTGTGGCTGTGAAACCATCCACTGAATGTGTATGTGTGTGCTCTGATTTGGAAACACGAGTTAATCAGAATGGCACCCTGTGCTATGCTTGCTGCTGTCCTCTGCAGTGATGTTTGCAAGCAAGAAGAGAACAAAAGAGAAATATGTTTGGTTTTGTAGTGTGGAAATAAAGGTCAAGCAAATTTTTAAGCAGCAACTCTTTTTTACCTGCCACTGTGTGTTCCTGACCACTCAGCACCTGGAATAGACACGCCTGAAGTTTGAGGAAGCTCCTTTTTCTGCTGTGGCACAATTCCAAACGTCACGGAAACATTACAAAGCATACTGTATTTTGGAGAAAGTTATTGAATGTACAATGAGATAATGCAACCTCCCCCTCATAAAAAGAAGTTTGGTGTCTGTCACATCAGGTCATACCTAGTGAAACAGTTGGAGACAAACATCAGAATTGACACTTTCCCTCCAAGCTTCCCAGCCCCGAGTACCTTTCCTAAAGTCTGGTTCAACCTCCACTCGTCCTACTAATCTAATTTTTAATTGGTCCTTGAACTCTGTCTTAGCGTGTTGAACTCATAAAGCAATATGGCTATTATTAGTAATTCCTTTGAGCTTGCACATCTATAATTCCTTAAATTTAAACTGTTGATAAAATCTGAGGCTAAGACTGGATCCAGCTGCACCCAGGCTCCTCTCTGAGAAGGAGTTTAGAAAACAAGGGAATCCTTTCTGCACCTTATGACTCAATGGCAGGGCTTCTTTAATAAACTTTGCCTAAAAGCCTTCCACTCCCCCCATGACAGGCCACACTTTGCATTCACGGTGTCTCATTTGCTTTGTAGCAAACACTCCTGTAACTTGATGCATGGGGATGATTGTGAATGTCTCTGGTACAGAAATGCAGAGGCTTTTGGTTGAGAAAATGCTTTTCTTTAAGAGGATCTTGATTGTTAAGTGATCTTTTTTCTGCATAATGTGTGAATGTTTCTGTGGAGTCAAGTTCATTCCAACATTTGGGCAATCCTCCACATAACTTATTCTATGTCTGCCACCACTGAATTTGAACATATAAACTTGATATTTGATACTTGACATACACACTTGTGAAAAATCTTCCTGAACATACCTGAAAGCCTTCCTTTGCAGCAAAATGTTGGCTGTGCTAATTAACAACATGCCACAGCCTACCCAGATTCTATAGTACCTGGACATATTGTTAAAATGTTAATCAGAATGGTTACAGTTGTACGTCAATCCATAGAATTTAAAATGCATCACTGAGGCTGGGAAATGGTCTGCAAACACTCCTCACTCCAGCTCACAGAGCAGAGCAATGAGTTCAAGATGAATCACACACTACTTCATTTCAGGAAGCACAGAGCTTTTGCTCTGACATTCATCCCTCCATAACTGCATCACTGTATTTGAATTAACCACAACAACCTCCCATCTGACATGAGGAAGGTCATGTCATCAGCACAGTCTCCATTTACAGCAGATATACTGTTTACTGATTTACTCTTATAATGCAGCTCTTGTGCAAATGAATCTCATAGTTAAAAACAAGACATATGAAGAACGTAAAAGGAACACTGTGTCTATCTCTCAGATTAAAGATCAGTCTGAAACAGTCCTCTATATGCGAACTTCACACAATTGTGGGACATTTTGAATCAGCTTCTCTTTGCAACTTCTTAATGAAAACCAATCATATTTTTACAAAATACTTAAGAATTAGTTGAATCAAAGAAGAAATGTGTGAAAATAGCTAACTATCTGGTGGTTAGAGATGTTCTTGTGGCAGGATACTTGAAATAATTATTTGCCAGGCAAATTAATGTAAGACATGGCATCGACACATGGCACTCATCCTACAACAATTCCACAGGCCATAGATGTAACACTCTGAGAAAAAGTAAATTGTAGTTTCAGATTCACTCAAGTAGCCACAAAAATTGAACCAATCTGGTTGTTTGGCTTTTTCACTGACTTTGTAACAGTTTCCAAGTTCACCACCTTACCAAGTTTTGCGAATAAATCTGGTAAATTGAACTGTCTAGCTAACTTGTCCTCAGTTAAATAAGTTTTAAGATGACTGAATCTATAGCTACAGTAAAAACTGTTGAAGCAGAAACCTTTCCCAAGGTGACAGTGGTGATTCTGATATAATAAACCCCAGTGCTTTCTGTTTCTCCCTTCCACCTCCATGATTTTTCTCCCTTTTTTTTGTTATTCCAAACCAAACAGCAGTCTTTTTAAAACTTACATCTATTAAATTCTTCCAATGGGAAGTTACTCCTATTTGGCAATCATCATTAAAGACTATTTTTTTTCTTTTAACACTAGTAAGAAAGGAGAGGGATCCTAATGTCATTATTATATTAACAAGATGGATTCAGAGATATGTCTGAAATGAGATCAAATGTGACACAGCTGCCTCCAAAAAAAAATTGTCAGTTGAACAAAACACACTGGGACAATCTGGTATCTCAATTTCCAGTTGTGTTACCATGGTTTCTATACAAAGTCTGGAGAGCACTACAAGTATATTCTTTATGATGATAAATATAAGGAGTATTTGAAATAGGATAATAAAATCATGGGTGATCTGTTCAGAGACCATTGTGACAGTTACAGGTAACTACTTATATTTGCCTCTGAAACAATCTAAACAGACAGAAGGTAAATCAATATATTCTAAATATATGGCCTAGCTATTGGGTTTTCCCTACCTTCTTGTTTTATTTTGCTGAGGTATAAAAATGATTTGGAGAAATATGAGAGTAAGACAGTTAATGCAAAACATTTTGATGTTCCTGGTAACTCCTGTAAAGGCAGCCTGGAAGCCCAGTGTTGGCTCACACTGTATGGTTTGCCTCAGCACTGTTGTTTTAATTGCTGTTGAAACTCAGATTCAACAAGATGTATGATATTAGTCATGGCTGACACACTGAATTTATTTACAGAGCTTTAAACTGACAGAGTCTGGAAGTACCTGAAGGTAAATTTGAATTCTAATTTCAGTTCCAAGCTATATTCAAATACGTTTGACTCAGTTCACCTATGTCATGAAATTCTATCAAATCATTGAAAAACTTTGCATGTAGAGACTTTGCATGTGAGGCAAAGTTCTTGTGTCTTTGGGTATATTGGAACAAAATAAACTCAGTTTTCAAAATTAGACATGTTAGTCCTCATCGAACTAATACAATTGCCTGTTTTACATGCAGAAAGTAACAAGACTTTCGAGATGTAACTGATTTGAATACACATGTCTACATAGAGGATATGAGAGTATACTATGGCTGGTTGTACTTAACCCGAGCACTTGACAATTCCCCATATGTCATTATAATAATTTAAATGCAATAAAAAAAAAATCTGCTCTTGAACAGTTGGCCTGCAGCTAACAGCTCATAGCAGCTGAGCTGCTCTAGTGATCCACTGCTACTGAAAGGGGTCTTTCTTCCTATGATTTTCTCTTTCCATTTCCACACATTTCCCTGAGCTGACTCCATGGGACCCTGTCCCCAGAGATGATTAAACTTGTTGATTTGGGCAGAAAATTATGCCCTTTTCTTTTTTGCTGTAACAGTTCTCTCTTGGCTTATTTACGCTCAATGCTTGAGTATAAAGTAAACACAGCACCTAAGAGAAGGTAAGTGGAGAAGACTTGATGAAAGGAACAAGGTAGGACTTCGATGGTGGTAAACTACCACATTTTTGGAGGGAACTGCACTCAGTGTGATTTTTGTATGGCTTCTGGAGCATATGTTTATGGCATAATTCTTTGTGAAACTATTGGGAGTTTCTAACAAAAAAAAGCATTGTATTAAATTAATTTTAGTTAAAAGACAAAGTCAATATGAATAAAAGCATCATTATAACATCAGAAATGAAGTATTCTGTAAGGTGACTTGATGACTTACCTTAAAGGAGATTTCATACTGCTCTCCTCCCCATATTTCTAATCCTGGATCATAGCCTCCCAGCTCCCAGAACCATCTCCGATTAACAGCAAATAGACCTCCAGCCATTACAGGAGACCTGAAGGATGAATAAAGCAACACAAGCAATAATGACGATGTTTGGACCACGTGTGCATGTGCCTCTGTGTGTGTTTGAGTGAAAGTTTTTTGAACTGTGGAGCTATGGAAGGCATAGACAAACAGTAGTGTAACCAAACAGCATTTATCTTTATTCACCCCAAAATGGTCTCTAGATGAGAAATAGGCAATATGATGGATCTTGAGCATGATAGACAGTCATGCACAAACTCCTTGTATTTAAAAAAAAAAAAAGTTCTGTTCATTGCTAAATAAACCCATGTAACAGAGAAAGAAAGGGACTCTGGAAACCTGCCAAAATACTTAATGATCTCAGTACTCCATGAGAAGTAACTTGCATCTGAAGGGTAGCCAAAGTTTTCAATTCATTTCAGTCTCATAGGTGCTGGTGAGAGAAAGGCAGAAAGGTGACAGAACATGGCTACAGAGTAGCAGTTGGGAGTTAAACTTCTGCTTTTCTAAGCATTTAAAGCTCCTCATGTGTCTCTCACAGTGGTAATTTAACTTATAGGCAAATAATTTGCTATGCTTCCCATGTTTCCATTTATTCCATGAATAAACACGTGGAATTTACTTTAACTCAGTCTTTTTCACAGACAATATAGAAAATAAATGAGATATTTAAAGTTAGTGTTAGAGAATATTGATGAAAAGTGCACTGTAAATTTATAAGCAGGAATTTTGTACTGGAAAATAAGCATTTTCTCTTTTTTTTTTATTACCAAGAAACTCATGTTTCTAATGCAGTAAATACATCAATAGCTCTCAGGATTCAAATATTACTCACTGGGTTCTTGAAACTGTGGTGGAAGGGGAATACAAAGGAATCTACACTGAATAGGAGGGAAACAGCAGGCTGAAGAGAGTCCAAGCCAACTATGCAATTCAATCAATGCAGCCTTACGAGTTTTAGAGCAAGAGGCTAGAAGGAACACATTCATGCTGATGGCTGATCAGAGAGAGAGAAAAGACAGTACATGGAGACCTGGATGGCTTCCAGGTAATGCCTCCTTACCAGAGAATAGACATGAAACTGGATCGTATGCTGTGTGCCTTCTAACACTGAAGTCCCAAGGGAAAATTATTCCATCATGGGGCATTTTTGTTTTGAATTACTATTGGTCATTTGTTTGGGGCTATGGAAGCAGATGGTATCATCCCTGAAGACCCGACTGGAAAATAAAAACTTCCCCCCTTGCCACTGATTTAAGATTTGGCAGTGAACTCAGGACTGGTAGGTATTTCAGGAATCCATGCATAAGTTACAAGTTTATTAAGAGGACATCATGTTAATGGAACATTCTGCCATATTTTCTCTGCCTGAACACTTTTTTATGTTGCTGTGTTTTATCCAAGCCAACGAAGACAATAAAACAGCAAGCAGACAGCTGAGTAGTCTCTGCTACCATTAGGAGACCAGTGAATCCCCATGCCTGAATGATAGAAAATGATCCTCTCATTTGCATTCACAGTAAAGAGAAACATTATGGATATTTTTCCTTTCACTTCTATGAGGTAGTTTAAAAAAAAGATATTATACTTCCCATTTTCAGGACTAGGGAGCTCTAACAGACTAATTGCATTTTCCTTAAGAGATTATATTTTTAAAAGCACATAGAAGCTTTGTGAAACAAAGCTTTGTGAAAAAAAATTCAAACAGGCAAGGCTTTGCCAGTTTGTCACATACACTGAATGCTAATACTTTTTTACTTTTACTGACATTTCATATCTCAAATATTGACTTTATTTCCACATATGAATACATTCAATGGAGATTTTATTAGAAACCTTCCCCTGGGGATTCTGACTACTACAATACATTTTCAATTTCTACCGAAGTAAATCTAATTAGAACAATGTCCTTTGTGACTTCAGGTTCTAAATAATCAAAACACAATGTACTTTTATAAAGATGGACTTGCATGGAGAATGCTTATAACTAAATTGCTACTGGCAGAAGAAATGTAGTCCCAGAAATCCCTGGGAAAATGTAGGATTCTCTAATTCTCACAGATACGATATCTTTCATGAGCATTTCTCTTAACATAGTGAATGGCCTATAAAAAGGTAATCCATGCAGGTGAATCAGATGGAAGATAAAAGAAATCAGACTTAAAATTGCAAAATAATTGGCAAATACTTACAAATTATATTTGAATCTACAGATCTTTCCAGTGATAAATAATGAAAAAAGAAACCCCTTTTTAATTAGATGTGAAAGTTCAAAACATTTATTACAACTAACAAAACTACCCAAAGATTGGAACAGTAGCAAACTCATAGTTTTTCCACTTCCTTAATACAAAAAAAAAAGAAGAAGAAATTGAATGTAATTGCCCCATTAATTCATATTCCACAAGATGTTCTGACATTTGTTGTTTTGCAGGAATAGTGATGGAGAGGAAAACCAGGATGCCCCTTTGGTTTTCATTGGAATGGGATGAGTAATAAGCTGTGTGAAAGTTGACACAGTCTGGGTATTCCACTCCATGCCACAAGCAGCTACTGCTGAACAGGCCTTAAATTATCTCCAAAATATGAAGATGAGTCCAGTCTTGCAATCATGATTTATATAAAAAGTCTTTATGTAGCTAATAGGATCACTCACTTAGATAAATGAACTGCACTGAGCCCAAAGGAAAGGAATTAATCTCTTATTTAATGGCTTCTGTATAGAAATGTCAAGCTATGTTTGTAGAAGTAATTTTTCCATGAAATGTCCAACTCAGGTGCTTAAACAATCAGATCTGAGCTACTGTAGCATAATATTATGTGAATAATTACAGTGGGAAGCTGTAAAATGCTTACAGTCTAAAACTTAGAAGGACAAAGACTCCCCAAACATCAGGGAAGCCGGAAGGTTGCTAAACTTAAAAATAGTTGTAAAAACCTTTCACATGAGAACTACTGCACAGACTCATTGACGATACCTAAAAGAACAATATTAGAAATAAAAGCTAGCTGATCCAAAAATGTCCCAAGCGGTCAAAGATTGCTATGCTGAGACAGAAAACGAGTTTGATTTAGTGAGAGTGCCAAAAAGAAAAAAAAAAGCCAAAAAAATTGTTTTGCAAGAAAAGATAGACTGAGAAAAAGGCAGGCAAATGCTTAATGTGAAAAGACAGCTCAGAAACAAATTAAAAAAGTGCACTAAAAGAAGTGTAGCAGTAGCTCAAACTGTAGCCAGCAAAGAATTTTGTAACTGCTTGCAATTTACATGTAGAAGAAGGAAAGAGATAATCTCACCTATGAATTTTCAAGGTAAGAGAAAAATGACATAGACTTAAAAGGAGTGTGAAGTTACTTGCATTAGAAACAACTGTGGTATATTGCAAACAATTGAACTGCATAGCAGGGTTTAGAATCATACTGCAAGAGTGATATATACAGTGGAGCTAAAGGATTTGTGAGGAGGGAAGAGAAACTTTTACAGCACATGGAAAGAAAATGAGGGAAATGAAAATGGGAAAGCACTTGTGCAGTAGGTACATGTGCAGTAGGTACACTGATAGCAATCACCTGCCTGAAACAGCTGAAATTTGGCCATTATAACTGTATACACTGAATGGCATATTGCACTATGCCTCTCCCTGTATAATCCAGACTAATTAAAGGCTCTGTGCTGAACTACTAATCAGAAAAGGATGAATGCTGGAAAGAGGAGTCCACCTCATGCAGGATACATTGGACAAACTGACCTTCAGTGCCAAACCCATGTTGTATAAATACTGGGGCAAATAGCCCAAAACACAAATCAGGACCAGATCCTGCTGACCTTGTGGAGACAGGGATATAACGGACAAGGAGGAAGGGGGCCATGTTGCTGCTGGCACAGCAGCAGTCACAGAAATGACTAGTGACTTCCTGAATGCAGCTTTGAGCTAGGCTTCTGCACCTTTTAAAATTAATTTCAAGGTCTTGTTAAACAAGAAGAGTGTTCCTTCACCCTAGTGATACCATATGAAGGCACCTCAGGAGAGGGTATAAATTCAAGTCACCTTGTTTCACTGGTGACTGTTCCAGGTGCTCTCTGCAGTGATTCCTGATAGCAAACAGCAGAAACTGATACTAATCCTAGATAATAAAAGGTTCTAATAAAACTAAAAATTAAAATCTGTGTAGGGTTAATGTAAGAGACAGACTTGTCCACTCGAAAGAAGTGAATGCAGAAATTAAACTGAAATTAAGATGAGTTGATCAAATGGCAAGGAAGTGATATATATTAATAAAATAAATGACAAAAATGAACTTAGAGGTTGCTCTGGCTAAAGATAAAGACAGATTCTATACTGTGGACAGTACTCAGTGGTATCTGGACAATTAAATTGTGAACTGTCAATCCTTTAAGAGGCACAGCACTAAAATTTCACTCCTGCTAAATGTTCTCCTGATTATTTTTCCCAAAATCAAATTCTGAAGTCTAAGAGACCACTCACACTTAAGCTAGCATAAGACGACTAACTTTGCAATAATAAATGTCTTGCTTTTTAAGCAGTTCCATTCAAATTTTATTCAATATTGACAACAAAACAATTCCCTTTTGTGGAACAGAGTTGCATTCAGATTTAGCAGAGTTCTACTGTGTTTTAACTTTAACCAAAATCTTTCCTGGACAATTCAAACACGTGAAATGCTAATGTGGCAGAAGAGTGGGTATGTACCCAGCAGTACCCACTAGTGATCGCAGCTACTTGTGACAGGCTGTGACAAAGTCACAAGCTTTTCCTGACTCTCCATTACTTCCCAGTGCAGAAAGCACTATTATGTAGGATGCAGAGCAAAGCCAATCTATTTTTACATTTGTAGCCTGCATCTCTGCATAATCAACAGTCTCTCTACTAAAACTGCAATGAGACTTCATTTTGATGCCAAATGTGGCAAATTTTTCATGACCAGCAGAGTTCAGAAAGTTTTGATAAGTAATTCTATTCTTACGTAATGAATTTTTTTAGAGATTATGACCAGTTAGTTTCATTATGT